TCTTCGCCCCCCCCACCCCCACTTGCTGTCACTAGGCTCGACATCTCTTGACCATCCACGAGCATGTTAGTCATGCCCGTTGAGATGGGCAAATCTCTGCCTTTCTCTCTTGCGGCCGGCCCGGTTGACTGGTCCGTCCATTCACCTCTCGTTATACTCAGTTGGACCTCATTTCAAGATTGCTACCAGCCAGAAGTCGAAGGCAGTTTGAGCTGTTGCCTTCACCCTTTTAGATTTTATTATGCGAATCGTCCAGACGGACGGCGGAGACGAGGGGTCCTCTTTCCTGTCCGTAAGCGCTAAACACTCTTTCGCCACTTACTTCATTGTCTCGTATTCCTCATATTTCCAAATCTTCAACTGTTGAACACCAGACCAACCGACTTGTTCTCCAAAGTGGATCTTGACTACTGCCCTTGTTTTTCATATTTTATGCGCGTGTATTTTGGCCCCTTGTCTTACGGCCACGAGCCTTTGTGTTTATAAGTAGGTTTTAGAGACCACCAATAGATCATATATATATATATAATATGTATTTGGCCTATTTCGCTGAAAGTAATCAAAGACTGGAAGTTGAATTTTCCCACTGCACATATCGTTTCTGTTGCATTTCACATAGCCCTGCTTTGCAAAAAGGTGTACTCCTCTAGGCTGAAGTGAGCTGTAGTTTCGACCTCGCCCAGGTCTTATCAACTCCCCCAGCCGGACTCGAACTGCAGTGTATAATCTTTACACGCTAACCGCTACATCCGTTTTCAGTCCTTCGTGGAAGGCGTTCTTGCGATTTGGGGCGTTGGATGTGACACCATGCCACTAAAGAGATGTCCTAACGGACGCAATCCCAGCGACATCCTCATTCGGCTTCAATGCAAGTATGCGCAGCCTCTGCTCAATCGACAGACGGCATCAGAACTCGGCCTCATTTCGATGACAACTCCAATCAAACGCAGAGTCAAGGCGATTAAACGGATACTCCCGACAAGAGGTGCCCCCTTCATTTGGCTGGCTGTGGGTAGATCGAGCTGCGATCTGTGAAAACCAAACAGTAAATTATCACATGACTAAGGAGATGTGACATTCTGAGACCTCATGAAACACCAGTTTCTCCAAGAAGTATGTTTTTTACGACGTCCAACACAGTGATACAATAACTGAGAGCCCAGCTTAGGCAGACGACTCTTTCCGAGCCTTGGATTCTGTTCAACAATTTGTAAATACTACTCGTGAGATCTGCCTGATTATTTGGTACCGCAACCAAGCCCTTGTACCGAAAAAGTCAAATATGAAGCCCTTAAATTGTGCTAGAGAGAAATGGCAATAGCATTTGACAAATAGAGAATCAAGCGTAACTAGTTTGTTCTTCATCCAATTGATTTTGTTCTTCAGGAAAGGGAAAGAATAGGCCATATAGAACTAGTACTTGAGTGAGTACGTACTACTCACAGAAAACGAGAAATTAGGCATAATTATGTTTCAGTGTGAAGTTTATTTGTGTAATTGATCCGCTCGGGTGGGTACCATTTTTCACACCAGCCATTGTCCGATCTCTCTAAACCTTCATAATCAGTTTCGAAGAGACCTGCGAGAAAAAATTTCATTTCATTTCTTTCACACATCGTTTTATCCCATAAACGGTTGGATGATGAGCAGGGCCATCTTGAGCCTTTGCTATGAGATGTACCGAAAAGGTTAACACTTGTGCAAAGATATGTAAACCAAGATTGTGCTACGTTTTGTTTAGTTGCTGTCCCCTTCGCTCCATAGAATTGACTTGGCCTCGCACATTAATCGCCTTCTCAAAGAGACTTTTATGAACACAATCTTTACCTCGTCCTCTGCGAACGTTGTCGGTTCTTCTTCAAGCGGCAGAGGACGTTTTTATGAGTGCCTCTTGAAACAGGACCAATTTGTGCAAATAGATCAAGCCAACTCTTACTTCTTTTCGCCTCAACTAGTCAACATTTACCTATTCATAAAAGTTATTCATGAGTCTGTCGTCGAAGTATCATGATTTCCCGACCGCGCGGCTTTATTCAACCCATTCGACAAATAAGTAGCGTGGTCAGTAGCATGACCGGAAAGCAAGTGAAGGATAGTTTTATTTGCTCTCCATTTCGATGAAATAAACATTTTTCAATAAATCCGTGTATTAGTTTCAACTGAGGCCGGAGGAAGGGGTTAATGCCAATTCATCGGCTCGTCGCCCTTCGACTTCTGACGAGACTAATTCGTCAATTATTTCTAATCAACTTTCCATTCGAAATGGAAATTCGCGTCGTGCTAACTCACAAAGGGACTCTTCGCAACCCAGCTTTCCCTCCTATAACATTTTATTTGTGTTAACGCTCACATCGTCACTCATCAATCCACGGGAAGAGATTTTCGGCTTAGGGAAGTCTTTTGAGCCGATTTGCATTTTGAGGGAAGGGATGGATACCACCACAAGACGACGGCTGATCCCAACCGACAGTTGGCCAAGAGGAAGAGTCATTTTACACACACTTAGACACACACACACACGCACACACACATGTGAGTTTAGCTTTACTTTTATGGATCATAAAACCAATGCAACATTTTCAAGTTTTGATGCACAGAAGAGACTGATATGCCATTTTTTGTCAAGTTTTTTGTATTAAGGTACCATAAAAAATGTTGGGCAGCCATGACGGCTGTTCCGATCCCCCAGCCCACATTCTTGGTGTCCCCTCCTCTCCACCTTTCAGCCGTCACGGGACCACGAATGGACCAGCGATTCGGCGATGCACATGACCACCGACTCAGCCAGCCTCCTGACGACCACAACAACGTCGCCACTTTTCGACTTCGTGGAAGATGGCTCCATGAAGCCGGTGGACGGCTTCCGTCAGATTCGACCCAAAGACGCCTCGGCCTATGCTGCTCTTCGGCTAAATGTCCCCCTCGAAGAAGACACCTCCTCGGGCTTTACCAGCAGCACATGCAGTCTCTTCTTCACCTCCTCCTCTGCATACAACTCGTCATCTGAGTCCACGTCAGGAAATCACGCCAAGTCCGACGTGAAGCAGAAGCTGACGGAACAGCTCAGGGCTCGACGGAACCGAGGCATGAGAAGGCCGGTTCTCCGTCGTCTCGCCAAGCAACGCTGCGATCCGAGGCTCGTGTCTGGCGCTAGTTCACGCGAAGGGGAAGTTGGTGTTGCCGCGACCGAGTCCGAGTCCGGGGTGAGTTGTCTCCGTAAGACCGGTGCAGAAACGAGCGCTGTCCAGTTGCCAAATGTGGCCGGTGATTGTTTGTCGTCTTCTCGCACATTGTAGGATTGTGAAGGTGGTGCTGGTTTTGTGCAACAATCTTATTGTGTCTCCTCCGAAGGCTAGTCATTAAAGGGATCTTTTGAGGTTGGTTGTCCTAGAAACGCCAGACATTCCTTGAATAGTGATTTCAACAGCATAGGCTGTTTTGGACGATTTAAGGGCGGATGATGGCGACATTTCGGCAATCAAAGGAATAGGTCTCGCGACGTGAATGGACTCAGAAAGATGTTCTTCTGCAAGCTTTATTTCGTCGCATCGTCACATCAGCACCCACAACAGGATTCGGGACCGGGTCGTGGGCACCTGGCAAGACAGACAAGAGGGCCAGTGTGCCACGGGACGTCGGGATTGCAATGCGAATGTGACGAGAAGATACAGATTGTCAGTTTACTTGCTAACCAAGTGGAGGTTGCATCTCCGAAGAGACATCGAATGGTCCATGAATCGTAAGGCAATAAGCCAAGCTTGCCCGTTTGTCTTAACTTGAGGCTGAGAGTGTATACGAAGAGGAGCTGGGTTTCGATAGGTCTCCTGAGATAACATCGTCGGAGAGACCTACATTTCATATGAAAGTGCATGAAGAAGAGATTCGAAGGTCGATCTCGCCAGAAGGGGCTTCAACACTGCGTTCAGGTCGACACATTTCACGAACCCCCCCCACGCATTCCACTTGCACACTTACAATCATACATTTTATGTAGTCTCGGTCATAGCTTTTTCTTAGGCCATTAAGCCTTGAGG